ACGCATCAGGTCATACGCGTGGTGATCAACAAATTTCCTCACCACTCGAGGCACAGAGGACGCAGCACGGGCCGGCCCCTCCGGAAGGAAGACCAAAAGCGAGGTAGGGTCAGTTAAGTAATCAAAAATCTTTTGATCCTGTCTTGAGTAATTTTTGCGACTTCTTGCTGTGCCAGCTGCGGCCAAAGTCCGTTTCCGCGCGGACAAAACATTTTTGGTCCTTCGAGCCGGATTAAAAAGAACTAACTTTTATCTTATTATTGTGCAATCAATATTCTCAATTTGAAATTCACGATTACGTGCTATGCTTTGCGAAAAATCTGTTTATTCCTTTACTTTTTTTGTGTATGAAGGCCATTAGCATCGACACAAAAAGATCAGTACGTTTTTTTTATATATACAGATTCGCATTTGATTTCAATCGACTGGATCTCGGTTTCAAACATTGTTTCGTTTTAACGTTCAATATCGGAACGGCCAGAGTTTCAGGCGTATTTATTTACTTTTTTGTCGAATTTCTTTCGGTCTAGTTGAAACTCGGAACAGTTTGGTTTTCATTTTTTTATTATCATTATTATTATTTGAGTAATATCGCTTTTCTCTCTGAATCTGCGTAGTGTTCGATAGGTTTTTATAATGGCAAAATCTTTAGGTCAGAATAAAGCCACTCGAGGTTTTTTTATAAGTCGTTTGACTGAAATTTATAATTGTTCTCAGACCTGTCTCACTGATTCAACTAAGTTAAATCAATTTAAAGCTCGTTACGAAGGAATTGAAGACATTAGAAATAATTTTGAAGCTCATCATCATGCAATCATTGGGTCACAACAGATGACTGACAAGTCTCTGGAGGATGAAGACGAAATTCGTCGAGAATTTGACGACAAATATTTCGTGATAAAATCTATATATATGGATTTGTTTCCTACAGCGGCTCAAAGTCCTGTTGTCCCATCAAACCAAACAATTTTTAATGCTACCACTAACCAAAAAGTATATGAGGTTGATGTACCAATTTTCAGGGGCGATTACCGAGATTGGCCGACATTCATTGACTTATATGATAGTTTAATTCATAATGACGCGAACATGCCGGCGATTCAAAAATTCGGTTTTTTGGTAAAACATTGCGAGGGTGAACCCCTCAATTTATTAAAAACGTTGCGCATGACTGAGAGCAACTACCCCGTTGCTTATCAGGCATTGCGTGATAGATACCAGAACAAAAGGTTAATGGCCACTGAATTTTGGAACAACATACACAACGCTCCTAAAATGTCATCAGACGATCATTTAGTTTTGCGACGTTTAATCGACACATTTCAAGAAAACTTGGCCTCATTGAAAATTTTGGGGTTTCCCACTGTCGAGTGGAATTTTATTCTTCTCAATTTGCTTTTATCAAAAATTGATGTGCATTCAGCTAAGTCATTTGAGCTTGCGCACAGCAGTGTAGAGCTTCCTTCATACGACGATTTAATCAAATTTTTCAAACATATGGAAGTTGTTGCTCCTCCTGAAATTTCGACTGATACTCAAAAAATGTATTATCTACCCCACCATTCGGTTACGAAAGCTAGTGACCAAAGCGTGCTATGAAAAATCACATGTAAATATATTTATCCTAATCTAAAATATATAAAATAAAAATATATATAAAATAAAAATATATTTATCCTAATCTAAAATATGATGTTGATTTTCCACTCTTCGAGTTGTTTATCTTAGTTTATCTTAGTTTTATTTTACAATACTATAGTCATTATTACTATATTGTGGTGTTCTTATCTGTTTGCAAATATTATGAATTATAATAAATAACTGACTATAATAAAATTGGGTTAAGTCACTCATCGACATTATTAAAAATTAGCTAAGTTTATTAATTACTGACGCACAGCACAAAATCATCAAAACGCATGGGCACTGGTTTTGATAAGGTATAAGACTACTGTAATTGACTAAATTATAAATTTGTTTTACGTAGATTTTATACATGGTATTCCGTTCATCTGGAGTAAATGTCAGCGTTCTTATTTTCCATGTATTAGTGCATTTTTGGATTCGCCCAAAATTCTAAATAATTTAATAAAGGGTGGGCAAAAATACAGTTCCAAAAGAAAACCTCCAGAGTCAATTTTTTCAAATATGATTTAATCCGATTTTGACAAGTTGTATATATTGGTTCTAATTTTATGGATTCTTTACTGCTCCACAAATTAATTAATTTTGATTGGTTTATTAAATTGGCATCTAGAGCAAATATATATTGAAATATAGTAATTGATATATACATATTATATATTATATATGATTATAAGACAATACAATTTTGGAAATTTCGGAAAAAATGTCATGAGTCCACCAAACAAGGCAATCCAATTGCCTGCCAAATGAAATTCAATATGGCGTCCCACGGTAAACAAACAAAGTTTACGTATTTTCTTAGCTATAAGAGGTTATTGATTTTTACTTTAAAGTGTAAAATTGGAACAGCTTGCAGCCAAACAACTTGAAGATTTAAAACAAATAAGAAGGAAAAATCTCCATTTGGTTTAATCCATTTTATATCAAATATAAACAAATGGAAATATTACATTGGCTTTGAATATGGCGTGGTTCATTTGTTAATATTTAAAAGCAAAAAGTACCACAGCATTAAGTTGCTTTAATCGGTTAATCTTCAACCTTATAAATTTATAAAGACTCAATCCACACTTTAAAGATGTGGCATATTATTTATAATTTGCACTTTTAAAATACTTATTTACATATATTTTTTTACGTAAAAGAAAATTAATATTGCAGTGTCTGTTTTTAACCACCCACCCAAGTTTTAAAGATATAACAAACAACTACCGTATACTCACCTCCTTTTTAATGAAAGCTAGAAGCAAAAAAGAAAACTTCTTACTAAAGAAATTCTTGGTTTTTAAAATTCTGTTTTTGATCAGAACATTGGTTGCACTACCAAGATGCATTAAGAACAGTTTCTAAGTTTACGTATTCAAGATGAAACCATTTTGTTCCACATGTTTTTTGCACTCATTCTTTGCTTAAGGAATATATTCGGCGATCATATAACAAAATAACAAATATTTTAATCTGCACTTGATAATAATACTTATGATCCGTTTTCAAACATACTTGTCCCCTATTTTTAGGCATGGACTTATTAATTGTTACAACATATTTTGTTTTTAATAAATATAGGCAACTAATTTTCAAGGACCCTCCCCTGCAACACTCAAAAAACACTAATCTGTGTGGAGATGCAGCTATTTCAGGTCTTTGTAATTTATTAAACAAAAATGCCTTTCCTAAGAGTAGTACCCACTTATAAAACAAAGCCAGATTCAAACTACTTATAAGTTTATCAACTCTTATAAGCCTTTAGTGTGAAAACACTATCCATTTCTAAAATAAATGCATCTAAATCTTCTACTAATTGTAGCTTCGCCTACAATAAGAATATATCTTTAGGTAAACAACACGAACTATTTTACAGTTTCTTAATATTACCTTCCTCCGATATTGAGATTTTCTTATAATAATATTTTTCAATAATGACTCTCCATCTCAAAATAATTAACACACAAAATGCTTTTCTCACAGATATTACAAATCACAATCATTCTTACCAAAACCCAACTTTGTGCAGACCATTTGAACATCCTTTCGGATTTTGTCTTTTTTAAAATTTATAATATGACAAACTGCAACCCCATTTGCAAACTTTGATCAAAAGGCTCCCAAAACTCAACACAGTGTTTCATTTTAGAAGCAAATTAGTCGTTAATGTACTAAAAAGAAATATCGAGAAAAGCCATTTCAAAACTTTAAGACTGTAAATATTTGATATCGTTCTCATTAGACAAAATTTCATATTATTGTAGATAAAGTACTTAGGAGAAAGTACTTAGGAGGTAACCATTTACCTCGTAATACTCAAGTACGACGGTCAAATATCACCCAATGTTATTTGTTCAGCGATATCGTAGAAAGTTTGTCCAAAAAAACACTAAACACATACTATGTCTACAAAAAGAAACACGCATTATAAGTTATTAGATTGATGAAACATAATAAAAATGATACCACAAAATCCCGCGACTGCGACCTTTTCTCGATTTATTTGTGTAACCGATAGTCGCCCTTCATTTAATGGATAGGATACATTAGATCGAATTGAATAGAACTTACATTACTATTTTATTATAGGCAAATGAATACACAAATTATAAGATAAATCCCAAAAGATTAATGCTATGTCGATGTAGAAAGTCCAAGTTTACCAAATTATAAAGCAAATTGTTAGACTTTTAATTAATTACTTAATTAAATTATTTACAGAAAGCCATCGTAACTACAGCAACATTTTCAGTGAACGATGGGCTCAGCAATTGACAAAACAGCAGTGTCAGCTGTTCACACATGGGACACACAGCGTTGGAACTTTTTTATGAACGATGAGGAGCCGCGGACCAAGATGCGAGCCTTGTGGAACGCCGCAAATACAACGTTATAACTCGACACACTCAACATACCGAAACCTGCTATGAAGATATGATTCGATTCATTTTATAGGAATTTTTCTGAGGCCATAAAATACTATTTTATTCAAGAGTACACAGCCACAAATTTGAAGGCTTTGATTTGTATTTAAAAAAAAAAGGGGCAGAAAATTTAACTTATGATAAGTTGTGGAGAATAACAAACGGGAATATTGAAATGTATCACTTAATTTATTAAACTTAAATATTTGGAATGACAGTAAGGGTCATTAAGGATATATTTTACTGACAGTATACTGCTATATAGTGGCCTCATACTCCTGCTTAAACTAATGAAATATGTATTTAATCTATTAAGATTCGTGCACGTGCACCATGACAACGGCATTTTCTTCTGATATCGCTTCTATCGGTGTCATCTTATCATTTTTTTCTAAATATTCTATTTTCGGTCGTAATAAATATAAAATTATAAAGGCGCGACTACCAACCGAACCCGCAGATAACGCAATGGTGTTTGAAGTAAAGGATAAAGTCGCCTTGATCACCGGCGGTGCTTCTGGTATTGGACTGAGATACGCAAAAGAATTGCTAAAACAGGGGGCAAAGGTAAGTAATAATACTTATGCCATATTTCTTAACGCCAGAGAGCTATAAATCATTATTGAACTGTAAAACTTCGTATTCACGAGAGTGGTAGCTAGTTTTGTTTAATTCTTGAAAACATCTAGGGTTTCTAAATTTGTTGCTGATAAAATTGCGCTTTCTTAAAATCAGAAAATTTAAATATGTTTGAAGCTCCCAAAACTCACCACTAGAAGTAGCAAAATTAATTGAAATGATATAGGGCTGGAGTTGGACAGTCAACGATATAGAAAAAAAAAAGAAGTACAGGATGCAAAAGAAAAGAAATACCTGCTTTGGGAAATGATGGTTTCATTCCACCCATCTGTAAAAAGAAATTGTGCTAAATTTTTCGAAAAAACTCAAGTGAATTATATCTCAATTATATCCGTAGATTCTATACAGAAAATTATACCACTCGAGGCCAAAATGATGTTACTCGTTAAAAAGGTCTAGGTCGTTAAAGTTAGATCTTCAATTCAATATTTATTTAATAATTAGATCAGTTTTGAAGAGAATGATGTAAGCATTTGGGTGTTTACCTTAATTTTTCTAACTAACTAACAGAGAAGAATGTATTCTTGCTTGTTATAGAAAATCCAAAAGCCAATCAAATAAAACCTACCTTGCTCAATGGTTATCGACCCAAGTACAATTTAACAATTTAAGAAAGAGTATACCTTCTTTTGTATTAAAAATAAACAAACTTACAGTAATTTTCAGTAATTGGGCAAAATGTCTACCATAAACCACATGTGAAAAACTTATTCATGAATTTTCTGTAGATCGTTACGCGATGTGATTTGTTCCATATAAACTAAGCCTTTCAAGTGACTCCAAAAGTAGAAATCCATGGAGTTCAGATCGATGCTACGAACATATATCATGTGGGAAACTTTCATCCAGGAAATCTCGAACCAATCAAGTGGAATGTAGGTGCACAATCGTGCAGAAACCATATGTTTTGCCTAACTGGAAGTAGAATATTAATTGAAAATTCACTCTGAAAATGTCTTTGTCTCACCAAATGAAGGTTCTCCGAAATGTTGGGGTTGCTCCAATGGAAAATACCACGCCTAGTAAAAGTGGCTTCGTAATTAGATAATATATTGCTTAAAAAAGCAGCTTCATTCACTTGTTCTTCTAATAACAGCTTACAAAAGTGAAGTCTTTCTGCAGTGTCATGAGACAACAAGTTGTGGACAACAGTTAAATAGTATGGATGAAGTTAATGTTCATACACTAAGAGTTCTTCCTCCTGCTGAAGTTAGCACCTTAAGATGACCGATTCTGTGCTTAGAGTGAAATTCTCCCGTTTTACTTAATTCGATATAAAGTCTTTGAAAATAGTTTGGATGACTGTAGTTCGAGTATAATTCGGTATATCTTCTAGCTGCGAAACGTCCATTGTAATCAGTTTGTGCAAACACACAAATCGGGTCTCACACTTCAAAATTTGTAAATGTTTAATGCCTCAGAATGTTCATAATATAAATAATATTTTTAATATAAAAACAACAGGAAAATGACTCCTGTATCTATTGACATTTGCTGTTGTTGAAAGCTATAGGTTTGCTCCAGCATCTAAGTCGGTGCACACAAAATTGTTGATTCTTGAAGTCTTGAAGTTTTCTTAAAAATAATCAATTTATCAGATTTGTTATACAAAATTTCGGGTAAAAAAAATTATCACAATTAAATTATCACTGTTTCAGCACAGTACAACATATCAAAATATTCTGATGTCTATATATGTATGTAAAGAAGTGATTATAGATTCATATTCATTATATTACTGTGTCCGTGTCTGAGGGAAATGGAAAAATCTAACTTGTTCTGTAGGCTATAGTTGAGTCCAGAATGTTTAAAGAGTAATGTAGTTTCATCTCTATGGAAAATTTTATATTGTTATGAACGAGTTAATATAACTAAAAATGGATTGTACTTGTTTTTTCGTTCCACTGAAATAAGTAAAAACATCATCCACGTATCCAAACCACCAACGAAAATTTTACTAAGAGGAAAATTTCTTCTTACTTTATCTCACCAAACATTTGCGGAAACAAATACCAATACCTCCAAACATTGCTTACTGGATTTTAATAAACTCTGGAGTCATTAAAAACTCGAAGTTTATTAAAATAAATATAGAAAATTTGACTTTGTTTCAGCTAAAAAAAAAGTGTTCACTCAAAGTATCATTAATTAATTAATTTTGCAGAAAATCTGAACTTTTTTTAATTTAATTGTGTCGAATGGATTTTCATCGAAAACAGTTCTATTCTATTATAAGGTATCTAGTTGGCGCCCCCTGCAAGCAACCTACAGGCTAAGGTCATATTCAAAATTTGTTACCTCCAAGAACCCGTTTTAAGTGATTTTCTTCAAAACTTATCAAATTATTGTTAGATTGTAATTGTTGTTATTATTATTACTATTATTATTATCATTATTATTACTATTATTATTATCATTATTATTACTTTTAATAAAATTGGTATTATTATTATTATTATTATTATTTTATTCATCTTTGAAAAGAGCAGTATTTTATTGGAGCATTTTTGGTTCAAACGGTATATATTGACGCCTAAACTCTGGGGTTATTCATTACGGATCACCCTGTATTTATTATTATACTGCCTGTTTGCTATTATATGCAAATTGGGAGTGTGTAAGTATTAGAAGCTAAAATACGGAAAATTATCATTGCAAATTTACATTTTATTAGTTTACCGCATAAAGAAACAAACGGTATTAAGTTTGTGGTAATTTGAAACCCATAGGGTGTCGTTCTGGCTGACATCGACCCCGATTTCGGTGCCACTGCTCTGGCGGAAATCGACAATGAATTTGGGAAGAATAAAGCGATTTTCGTGAAGACCGATGTGATCGACATACAACAATTCGAAAGTAAAACGACGTATTTTTGATTTTAGTCCGTAAAATCCCTATGTTCCAGATGCGTTTAAAAAGACCGTTGAAACATTCAAAAACGTTGACATTCTTATCAACAATGCCGGAATTTTAAACGAGAAAGCGTGGGAAAAAGAAATACTCCTCAACGTGGTAAGTTCGCAGTGATTATAGCCTTAGTGTTCGCCAAGTATTCGCTACATAAAATAAAAATAAATCAAAATAGAAAAAAAAAGTTGATGAAAAATAAAAATATAAATGCAACAAGAAAAGGAAAAGTTTATTGGGAGGTTAATTTCATTTGCATATTAAAACGACTTAAGACTTCAACTCAAGATAAATGTAGGTAGGTGCACTCATATATGTATTAAGAATGAAGAAGAATTTCCGAATAATTACAGTAGTTGGCACTACAAAACAGGATCGGAGTTTTGGTCAGTTTTAATTATTTTAGATAATTCACTATTAATGCGCAATATGATTATAGACTTAGTGAAAGTGTACCAAAAACATCGCCAAGAAAAGAAGAAGTTATCAATTGTCTGTGCAGTAATCGGATGAATTTACCAAAAAATGCTTTAAACTGTAATTTACTAAAGATTGGCAAAAAATAGAAATCAAACTTGCCCTATGGTACAGATGAAATAATTGCAGAAATGGGTCATCAAGTTTTAAGATTGCCTATTTACAATTATATATTTAATGCCATAGAATTGGTGCGGGATCAGTGCAAAATATTTTTTAATAAAAATGTACCTTCTTATATCTTCAGGCATTTACCAAAGAAAACTGGATTAGTTGTGTTAACACGTAAAGAAAATATAATAAACTGATACTGAGAAAAAGAGAATGCACTTGATATAACGGTACCACCACGTGTTGTTAATGCAGATCAAGGGTTGTTTTCTGGTAGTAGCGACTCAAATTTTGACTCTGATGATGAAGAGGTTTCACCGTAAATACAAGCTAATTTTTTTTACGTACTTTTATTACTTACTTTTACTTGTACATTTATTCTTGGCAATTTGAATTTTTCGATTTTTGATATATTATTACATAGAAAATACACGAATCCAACTCTGAGTATGGGCGTACTAGTTAAATTAATAAATTCCAAGTACAACTATTGCTCTTTCTGCCAAGTAATATAATCGTGATCGTTATTGATGACTGTTTTGCATTGATCTGACAGATATTTAGGGCAGATCAACATCTATTAAAGTATAAGGGGAAGCAAGATGGTTAATCTATTTTACACTATCTCGAATTTTATTGCTCGTTATAAAGTCCGACCATTCTGACTACTGTTAATCTGAGTTTGTCGATCTTGCGAGAGAAATAATTTAAATATGTGTTTTGTACGTTTTCTATAGGTTCAATGTATGTTGAACCAAAGCTAAGTTTGCTTTTGGTAAACGAGTTTTTTACGAAATTATTGATATTTTTGTCATGAACCATTTTTGACTCGATTGTGGTCATGCAGGTACTAGAGATATGGAAAGAGGCACTGATTATGCCGTTGACACAGAAACTTATGAAGCAACTATGATAAAAGAAATAAGATTCCTTCAACATGCTCATGCGCCAGATTTATCGCTTTTAACCAATGACCTTGCGGCATTCAGCAACCCACACAGCTGTTGACAGATGGTCGATAAGTTTGGTTGCGGCATTTTTACGGCAAAATATGCCTAGATCTCGTTACACGTTCTGGGGAAACGAGTTTTTTGTGGAAATATCAATGCAGTTAAAGTAAAAGGTTCCTTTTTAAATTTTCAGGATCTAGGTTTCAGGTTCATTGTGACAGTAACATACTAATCTGTCTTTTACTCTGAGACAGTCGGCAAGGCTTCTTTTTCTGGCAGTACCTATTTTATTGATGGATCTAAGATTTCTTATTTAAATGTAAGAAGTAAATAATATATAAAAATATATAACAAATATAAAAAAACCTAACCGGGGATCTGAAATTTTCAACTTGAAAAGTTGATTCGGCTCAAAGTTAAAACCCTCATTGATGCAATAAGAGTCTCTTTTTGGCTTTGGCGTTTTGTAATTTCTCCTGAGAATCAAGTTTTTTGCTTTTACTAACCAAACTGAACCCTGATGAAAAGATCATTTTTCGTAGCACTCCTTCACTAGTAACCCTCTTCGTCCATGATAGTTTAGTTTTGACGCAACAGTCTGATTTTTATGCCCAACGATAAATTAAGGAATTTAAACAGTTCGTTTTGAGTTCCTTGCTTTTTGGTTTGTCTTTTCAGTACATTATGAGATTTCGCATTCCTCATTTAGGAAACACCACAAATAATTGTTCTCTTCCACTAGTTATTTGCTAACTTGATTGATAAAAAGGTTGGCTGCACGAATATGCTCTCTACTTGCTATTAGTAATTTAGTTTTCTTTAAGTGCATTTCTAATCCATGGCCACTCTCTCCATCAGTTATTTGAGACTCCCTTCAAACATGGTGAAATTGTCTGTGTATGTCATATTGCTTAGCTTGTTGCACTTGTAATTCCTTCTTCAATACCATTAAGTGATCCTCGATTTATGAATTCGGGGGTCACATTCAACAGTCAGCTAAATAGTGAATCGTAAAGTCGTGTTTAAAATAAGCTGCGAACAAAAGCATTTCGCAGTTAATGAAACAGTTCTTTTTATTGCGTTGATGTATGTGTTGAAAAACAAAAATGGGCTTGGGCGACTGCGAAAGGAATCGAAATCGTGTTGGGAAAATAGCCGTGCATGTCGATATTTGATTGATCTGCCGACAAAGTTGTTTATGCATTATTATTATTACAATAAATTACTGCAAAATGTTCAGCGCGATCACAGTCTAGAACATTTGACAGATGACAGGTATAATTTGCCTTCCAAAAAGGAAGGAAACACTATCTACAAATCTGGATTTTTTATGCGTCGGTTGTTGATCTGGTTGGACTGGATTGAGCGAGGTGGAACTAAAGGAGGTACATGAAAATTGTCGTCTCTTATGACTGATTCTCATGTTGGTGAAAGGTGAGTCGGGGTAAAAAATATTTGGTTGTTTAGAAATTTCTATGGATTCTCCTTTTTTTAGAATTGATTACATGCAAAAATTTTGTGTGATTGTGATTGTAATTTGGTTCGGCAAATTTTTGTTTTAAGGCTCTTTAGTGTTAATTCCTTATGTATCGAACTGAATTTTGTCTTTTGTGGATCGAAAATATTCAGAGATTTTTGAGTAAGTGGTAAATGGTGTTATATTTCTTAAGAACTTTTGATATGTGGTCAGTAATATTTCGAATGCAAGGATGGAGTACAGTGGCAAGTGTGGGGTTGCTTTTGGACCCGTGTTTTTGAAAGGTTGCGGTGAAGTGTATTTTGTAATAGAATGCTTAATATCTCCCATGTAGAAATTATTTGAGAAAACATCTGATATTAGGTATTTAATTTTGGGATTAATGATGCTGGTTGAGATAGTTTTGCGACTCGGTAAACAAGGGAGATTAAGGTATCGGTCTGCGTGAGTAGGTTTTCTGTAAGAAGTATTAACGACGGTTAGACAAGATTTTATTAATCTCCAATCCAATGGTAAGAACATTTCGGAGGGATTCTTGAACATGAGGTTAAATAACAAAAGTATCATGAGCGTACCGTTTCCATAGTCTTGATTTTAGATGGCTATGGCCTTCTTCTCAAAAGCATTCATAAATACATTTTTCTACTCCCGTCGGTAAAATAGGTAATTACTCACCGATCTAGGGTGCGGAAAGCGTCACTTTACCACGTCAGTTTCGTTTCCCACGAATCCTGCCATTTCGGACATTCCCAGGATTTTACCGCACGGATTAGGGAGCGCTCGGATGTTTTCGGTGATATTTCCCACACTTTGAATTTTGACGTTTGTCAATTCTGACGGTCATGGCAGTGAATGTATTGTGTAATCTTGTTTTGTGAAAATGTACCCAAAAACTAACAATCGTAGAAAAAGTATAGTATGCAACACGTTCGGTTAACTTTCTAACTCACTCATTTATTAAAAACTCCGCTCGTGTCAAACAAACTCGTGAGTCAAATGCCGTTTACCGCACTTGTTTCATAATATAGTATTATGGTTCTAGTGGGAAGCCCATAGCTGCGCCTGATATTTGTTCATAAATTTGCCCCCTACAGGAAAAATATATTATTAAATTCCGATGAGCAACTTTGATTCCAGAGTCTCGGATTTTAATATATCTGAAAAAATATTCAGAGTGTCAGGAATAGGGACTTTAGGAAAGAGTCGAAACTTTTCAATTATTGAATGAAGCGACAGGAATTAAGTACGAAACTATCACTTTTTCATGGAGTGGCTTTTAATATAGAAACTACAAATTTTGCTAGAGAATATGTTGGAGAACCAGTGCTGCTAACAATAAGTCGAAGGCGTAATCTTGGTTTGTGACTGTTAGGGAGCAGAAACGTGAAATTTTAGAGTCGTGAGCGATAACAAATCTTTTCATGGATTTCATTAGAGAAACCCGGTTTAAAATTGCGTTCAAAATTTGAGGTAGAATTTTCTTTAAATTGCCGATAAAATTCGTCTGTGAAAATATCTTCCAATCTTTTCTGATGGTTAATTGGCTATCGTAGCAATCGCTGTATATTTCAGAAATTTCAGCGAAATTTAGAAAAGAACCTGAAAGTTTCACGTGAGTTGAGGTTAATTTTTCATACATTTGAAACTAGTTCTGGGTAGAAGGTAAACATAGATTTTCATTAGCTGTGTCATATTTGCAAGTATGTCAAACTCGGATGGTAGCAATTCCAAGATGTAGAGATAGCAGTATTATTTACTTACTCTAATCCTTTACCGGCATGATGTATTCTTTTTCGAAGTAAAGCAAAACTAGATTAATGAAGTACTTTGTAGGCAAATAAAATGATCCACTATATGACCTGGAAACCCATAGGAGATACGAAAAAAAGTTTCGTATAAAAGTCCCCCCAATATCAACTTTGTTATTTTAAATTATATTTCGACATTTTTGGAATCCTTAGTTGAAATAGAGGTCACATTCTTAACGAAATTTCTATTCGAATTTTGCAAAGTTCAGAAAGAAATTTAGGAACATTTAATCACATACTAAGGAGATGATGCACTACTCAATCAGTTTGACAGATGCACCTCAGCTTATACAGGGTGTCCCAAATAGGGGGTGCCGTTTTGGCCATTTCAATTAACAAAATCCTTAGATTTTCAAATGGATACCCTATATTTTTATTCAGATATCAATTCTAGGACAGAAAAAATTACAACCTCAATTTCTACCTAAACTGTCCTAAAGTGTCCATTTTAACCAAGGATTCTAAAAATGTCGAAATATACAGGGTGTTCTGTTTAAAGTCAAGTTTCTTTGAAAAATTAAGAAGTAACTAAGCTAATAAACAAAATTTTAAAAAGGTTTACAAAAAGTGGTAGATTTTAATATCGACCTCTTCTGTCAATAAAATCAATTATGAAAGCCGGTTGTGGTTCAATTTGCACATTGTGTGATTGGATATATACTGTACAGAAACAGACATAAAAAGTTCATAAATGTCCTTTTTATTAGAATGGTGTGGTAAATGGAGTTCTCCTGGGCTTGGAGAACTATTTGCAAAAATACAGGTCGGGATCGGAAGCAGTCATAGTCAATGCGTCTTCGATCGCAGGAGTTGAAGCTTATGGCGCTATTCCCATCTACTGCGCTACAAAATTTGCCGTAAACGGAATGACACTCTCTTGGGGTCATCCCTTTCACTACGAGAGGACGAAAGTCAAAGTAGTCGCCATTTGTCCGGGTGTAACCGAGGTCCGTTCGATCAGCGATGTGGCGATCAGAAATCTGGGTCCAGCTTACGAAGAAATAAGACGTATTGAAGTTCCAAAATGTAAATCTCAGAAGTAAGTATCGAACAATACGTCATAATGACTTTATATGTTAGTCGATACGAAGCAATATGTTGTCCTTTTTCGGATGGGTAGGGTTTCATTATAATATTGTATAATTGTGAACAAGTCATCAGGAAATGTGGACATACTTTTTAATAAATAGGGACAAGCAATATCAGAAGTTTTTAGTGAAAATAAAAAATGAATCGTGGCAGGAAAATCAGTAACAGAAAATAAAACTGGCCCAGAGTTTGATTCCATCCAGTTATCATCGCCCCATCTGCTGATTGTAGATTTTGCTCTGACATAGTTTTTTTATGTCATAGAGTCATGTTGGCTTTGGTCTCCTTTCCTTCTTTTTTCTGAAACTGGTTTTTGGTGGAGAGTAAATACTTGAGTCGCGGTAAAGATCATTTGGTTGTATAGACATTTCAATGGTTTTTCTTTGCTAGAAGAATTAAAAACATGCTAGAATTTTAATTTAATAATAAAGATGTCAGGAGGTGGTTTAACCGATCATCAATAGAAAAAGAACGAATAATCTAGAAAATAATTCGTTCCTTGTATGCTTTTCTAGCGTTATTTTTATGGGTTGTCTAAATGGAATTATACCCCATTTCCTGCACCCAGCAGAAATCCTCATTTTTTAAACAAAGAAACCTGGAACAAAGGGTGTGCAAGGATTTGCCACACTAAATTGTGTTTCAGCAACCATGATTGGATCATTTTTAAGATTTTGTCAGATACGGTGGTTCAGATATATAGGGTCATTCATAAATTCATGATAATGATCGATCCACCAAATCAGAATTTCTGACAAGAGTATCGCGTAAGGGACATTGCGAACCGAAACATCAGATGTACACTAAAATGTAATAAACTGTTGACAACAGACAGCAAAATATTAGAATTGAGCTCAAAATGTCGCTGGTATCTGAGATATTCGTTTAAAGTTTAAATGTTATTCTGAATTTTCTGATTAAAAGGGAATATTTTTATAGTACAGCAATAACAACTTGCGGTTTTTCAAATGACAATTATAAATTTCAAATTTATTTGGAAATTTTTCCTTGAAGGAGCTAGTTACACTTTATTATTTAGATCACTCGAATCACATTTTTTTATCTGTCGAGTTATAAAAAACTAAAACAGGGTGAAAGTCAGCCAGTTTATGTTTTTTTTTTCAATGATAAAAAGCTACGGAGAGCAATAAGAAACTAATATTTAACAATAACAACTTTGTTGCAATTTTCGACCATCTACCGCAATACAGTTTGCAATCAACTCAAATTTATGATGTTACGAAAATTTGGTTAGTCTGCTTACTATTTGCTGAACTAATTCTAATGAACTTGTTGCATTCTGACGATATGCAAGTGAAATAACCCTACCAATATTCGGCAGATCGAATGTGTTGAAGTAATCAAGAAAATTATTTTTTTCGGATCATTTACTACAAACAAAGGTGGCTGTGACAAAAAAATCAAACATAGACAATAAACATAAATTTTTAAACTGCTGATATATCTTATTGCCACATATGCCTCTAAGACCTGGATATTAAAAGTTTCCAATCGAAGAAAAAAACAAGATTTTGAAGTGTGGGCCTATGAGGGATGCTGCGAATCTCATGAACTAATTGATCATTTCTTAAGAAACTAAAAAAGTCACTAGGACGTGGAGGACTTCGATCCGCGCAATTGAGACATAATGTCACCATACCCTTTCTAGAGCAAATGGACTTTTATTGGTCTTTTTGAATTGGCGCTTGATCTAATTGGACATCATTATTTAAACCTTCTTCAGCACCATTTGAGTGTATTCCTATCAGAAGTACCACTCACCTTGTGAGAAAATATGTTTTTATGTATGACGGGGTGACACTACATTTTGAGTTGCCAATACGCCAATGTTTAAAAGGGAACTTTCCTTATCGGTGGGTTAGCCTTGGACGTGATTTTGCTTGATCACAAAGAGGTAGGACTTAAACCCTCTGGACTTCTCAATATGGTTATACTTGCAAGATTTGATATACGCTGAAGATATTAATGCAGAGAATTGTTGTTTAACATTCAATAATATTTAAATTCATTGCAAAATGTATTGAAGTAGATGGTGGACAATTATAACATTTTATTTGAAGTATTACCATTAACCAAAGTTGTTAATAATAATTTTTATCTCTCAAGTATTGAAAAAATGTTTTTTGTTTCAACCATAACTCTACAGATTTAAAAAATATCATAGGGTGAAACAAGCCACCTCCAAAAAGTTTCACATTCGCAACGGTTTGTTGTCTCAGGAAATTCAGAATAAAATTAAACTTTTATAATATTTTGGTACTTAGCATCTTCTGACTGGCCATTATTTATGAGTCACCCTATACATATGAGCACATTTTTAAAAATTTCCTATTGAAAATAACAGTAAAACTTTCGCAATTAAATTTTAAACTTCTCAAATAAATAAAGATAGGATAGGATTACCTTAAGATATTTCACTTCACACTTAACATAATATGTCATACACATTTTAGGCCGGAACATGTGGCGGAAGCTACGATAGAAGTCTTACGGAAGGCTGAGTCTGGGACTGTGTGGATCATTGAAGCCGGCGAAGCCCCTTACAAGTTCGTTTTTCCTGACCGATTTAAGCTGTCCGAGAAAATATTTTTGAAATAAATCTTAAATATTACGAAAGCGCACAACAAATTAGATTTTTCTATTTATCATAAACTTTCACACAAGGACACAGTCATACATAACAGCTCACAATACACAGAATTCTTAATACGCCACACTCAACAGAAAATTACAACAAAGAACTTAATATAATTAAACAAATTGCACTGAACAACGGCTACAATCTGTCTATTATAGATGAAATTATAAATAAGAAACAAATCCAGGCAACAGTAAACTCTATTTATCCGAAACCTAATACAGAACACGAACAATTTAAAACAATTACATACATAGGAGAACCTAGTGAAAAAGTTTCAAAACGTTTGTCAAAATGTGGTTTAAAAATAGCTTTCAGGACTAACAACACAATAGCAAAATTTTTAAAAAACAAATCTCAAAAATCAGGTGTCTACAGGTTGAAATGCGGATCATGTCCTAAAATTTATATTGCACAAACAGGTAGATACTTCAAGAAACGCATTAACGAACATAAAAGAGCGTTTAAAAACAAAAGTCTATATTCGAATTATGCTATATACTTAAAGCCCCGAAAACACATTTTTGACGACAATTTTGATATTTTACATACAGCTATAAAAAGTAGAAAATTAAATTTATTGGAAGCCATGGATATTAACAAAATGAGACATTCAAATGTATTGCTTAACGATCAATTTGAATTAAAATTCTCACAACATTAATTATGGTTTTATGGTCATTTTTGGGTATATATAGTAGCAGGTACACGGTGTTGTCGAAACAATTGTGATGTCAAAATATATAATTTCGTGAAAATCTGAACTTTTAATTCTTATTTATTTTGATAAATGGATTTTCATCAAGTAAAAGGCACCTCAGTTCAATATTATTTTCACACACTATTTGGAAGTCCAGTATTTTATAACTTGAAAAATTGTACGCTCTCGTTCCGATACGGCACTGATTTGACCATGACGAAACGGCGCACTACTCATGTGGGATTTTCAATGTTTGAGCCAATCCGAGAAGGTAAGAATCGAGTTATTATTACGCTGAAAGGGGGGCTGCCTGAATGGAGTTTTGGAAACAGCCACTCTAGACCCTTTAAATGCCCCTATTACGGCCTTTCGACTGAAAGGTTTAGTCTATTATGAAGGTATTTAGGACCTGTAGAATTGTTTGCTTTGTACGATTGAACTATTTTGAGAAAAGTGCTTAAATATGTGTTGCTTTGTTTCTCCGTTCTAGTGGAAATCCTCTAAAAGCAATTTTTAGTAGCCCAACCAAACGGTAGATTAAGGGCTACGTTTTCATGATTTCCTAGTACCTTTCAGTTCTCGCCGCTTTATAAAATTACAGAAATGCGGATTTAAAATTGAGAGTATCATAGAAATAATTATTGTTAGCATAAGCTTAAAGTTTTTGTTAGAAAATACAGGCATTCTGGATAAAACTCAGGAATGGTTAATATAATGGTTAATTTATATTATAAAATATCTATAAAAATCAAGCATTCCATATTATCAAAAATATCAAACTTTGTGGGTATGGTTTGTTCATAGATATAGGAAAGTTACCAATTGCTTTTGAATGGGATTATCCAAGGGTGATCATTAAAATATAATGAAACAAGATTAAATTTAGGTATAATTGTGGTCCGTAATACAAAATAATTTTATACCTACCTGTGTTTAATATTCTTTGGTTTGGTATACTACTTAGTTTGAGTTTATTAGTAATCATTCATATTTGTGCGAGTCTAGTGTATCTCAGGAGATGTTATAAACAATGTTTATTTGACTCTTATTGAACGTGGTGCCATCTTTAGAAGAAACGGCCACATTGACGAAAATTCCAACATCAATTGTATGGAAAATTGTGAATAATCCCATTTCAGCGAGGAAAAAAAGAAGCGATGCTGACATTTTCTCGAATGTAGATGAAAGTGATCAAGATATAATACGGCGTAAAACTTACCAGTTATACGAGGAACAAAGCGTGCCTATATTAGATATCTTGATTAGGAGGCTTGAAAAAGATGAAACCGGTGTTAATTGTGGCACCTTATTCAAAACATTCCTCCTAATAGTGTAATTGTAACGGACAATACACGTTATCACAGTAGACAGTTGACTAAAACCCCTTCCTCATGTGACACAAAAACAACAATAAAAAACTACATGTATAATAACGACATTTATTTTCACGAATATTGTACCAAAAAGCAATTAATTGAGGTTCTACAAAGCTTGAACCTACAAAAGGAATATGTCTGTGATAATTATGCGAAAAATCTAGGACATACAGTTTTAAGACTTCCGCGTTACCACTATATATTTAATCCCATTGAACATGTTTGGCACCAATTGAAATCCGCCATTCGTCGTAACAATGTTTTTCCCCGTGTTGACTCCAATGTCTTCAAACTTATAGAAACCGAAGTTTTTAACATCCCCCCACAAAATTGGGCAAATTCTGTTAAACATATAGAAAAAGCAGAACAATCGTATATCCATACTACAAATAAAATAGAACAAATAATAATTAGAACAGGCGATGATAGCGATAGTGATACTGATATATTATGTGAATAATTTTAAGTAATTTAACAAGGTAATAAAAATAATTTGTAATTTTATTTTAGATTTAAACATAAATACATACATAAATACATAAATATTGTTTAGTATCTTTCCTAACAAAACCCCATATAATTAAATTCTAAGCAAAGTACGGACCTGTTCGGCCATATTTCATTCTTACAGCTTGCCCGGGTCTTTCCTTAATTCGTATCAGTTAGTCACTTTCTTATATCTATGAGCAGACTTTCACATCTAATGCTATCCCACTAGTTAATTTTTAATGCGGTTTGCTGGCCATCGTTCAAGTGTTTATTATAAGAAATATTTGATTACATATAGGGTGTTTTACAAGGAAATGGCAATAGAATACCAGAATATTCCTCCTATCGAAATATTTTGTTTTGTAAATAAACTTATATTCAAAAGTCAAAACTTCAGGAGCTACGGGGTGATAAAAGTAGTTTTATTTTTTTATTACTTATTGCCACCATTTTAAAAACATGATCACAAAAGTTCGCATGTAAGTTTTTCCATAAATTGTAGACACCTGCGCACATTTTTTTTGCAAAAATACAATAACATTTTTTTGCATATTATCAAATTTGGTTTCTGATAGGACAGGGTCATTTTATGGTATTTTAAAGGTTAAAAGGATGTTACTATACATAATTTCAGCTCACGATCTACCTAATCAACAAACAATCACCTTGTAATAGCACAAAATAACCGAAATGTAAAGTCATTTATTACTTTATTATTAGACAAAAACATCAGTCATCACCACCTTGTTAAGCCTAAGTAAGATCTGAAAATAAAATATTCACGGTATAATATAAGTTTAGATCAACCAGAAGAACCAGAAGATGTACCAGACGCGTTGGGGACCCTTGGGAAAGAAACACAAAAGCAAAAAAGAAAAAACGATATATTTAAAATGGCTCAATGCAAAAAGTCACAGTGACAAACAAAAATACAGCAGATTGAGAGAGAAACGCGGAGAATAGTAAAGGAAGAAAGAAAAGAAATGCGGAAAATGAAATGCGCCGAGATCGATGGATGTATAGGATGGATGCAGAGAAGTCGAGAATAAACATGATGTCCCCTCAAACCTGGAACCAGTATTTTACTGGACTTTATAAAGAATACCGACCAAAATAAAGTCAAACAATTAAAAAACGTCATGTCCCCAGAACTACTTCAGCAAAGACCACTTAAACTATACCACACGTAGCAATGGTCCTTAGATTAGGTACAGTGTGGCAAATGAATGGAAGTTGGCTTATATTACAGGGGGCTGTCAGTTACTAGTGTATTCAGCCGGTCTTATAAACTGGTTATAACAAACCTAATTGAAGAAAAGTACAATGACAAAAAAGCATAAAAACAAAGTGACTGTAGAAGCGGAATATGCAAATAATTGAAAATAAATTAACGCATGGAAAGGAGCAAAGGAGGGAGGTTTGTAGATCTGTCTACAGTCTACAACACAGTAGCAGTAGGAAAATTATGGGATTTTTTAGGAGGTAATATAAAACACGGAAAAATAAATGCAGGCCAATGGGGTATAACATCAATAATACAACTCTGTTCACCAATTATAGAATATATGGCAAGAAAGTCAATAGAAGAATACAAAATTTTGGGAATGTAGAACTTGATGACTACGTAACCGTCAAGGATGTGGATGAATACAAATATCCGGGAGTATCATTTACAGACGAAGGAAAGGAGAGTACAGAAATTCAAAACAGAGTTGCACAAAATTGAAAAATCAGTTAACTTTAGCTCCTCCCAATTCAAATAATATATAAGTAAGTACAGAGTAGAATGCGAGGCAGAGTCAGTTAAGATCCGAAGATTTGTAAATAGTATGGAGACAATGTCTCTCATTCCGGAAGCATGCCTCTACCATATTTCCTTCTATATTTCATTTCCATGCATAAAGTAAAATCCTCAATTTTGTCAATATTGAAATAATTTTATCTTTTATTTATTTCTAGGCTTCAGGTTTTTCGAATGTTTATATAACATTTTCTAACGAAAAATGTATTTCTGTATCATTATTAGCAAGACAAATAATTGTAATTAGCTTTAATGCATAAGTTAATATTTTTTTGAATGTTCGTTGGAAAAAAAATATTATCCATTGATTTTACAATTAAATATATTACTAACGAATGTATTTTTACTTTTTTCTCTTTTCTGTCTATTTTAAAGGGATATTGTTAAGAAATATGCAATGTTCACAGTTTTCATTCTCTTTGAATTTGAAAAACCAAACTACAGCCACAAAAACTTTCTGGACAAATATTTGTAATTTGCTTTTTCTACTCCCGTCTGTAAAATACCTTATTATGCACCGATCTAGCCTGCGGGAAGCGTCACTTTACGACGTCAGTTTCGTTTTCCATGAACCCGAGCCACTTCGGGATTTTACCGCAAGGATTTGGGAGC